CTACGTACTCCACGGTCCATTTCCGGAACACGTGGAAACTTCAGCTAGTAGCTGTCTAGTAGCGTGAAGCTTTCCACGCCGGCTAAAAATCTAGACGAGTTTCACTACAACCTAGTATGACTACGTCATGAGAACCCTTGTCTCAATGACTATTCGCGAAGGACTACGTCATGAGTCGAACTCAAACCCTATAGGATCGAGTCGCGATAAGGCTAAGAGCCGTGTATTGCATTCGCCCCCTGACAAGGGTCACAGGAGGCGCGACATCAGTCGGACAAGGAGAACATATGAATTAAAGTGCGGGGCACTCTCCGGAGATGGATGTAGAAATGTGCGTCGCACAACGATGGATCCTACAAGGGATCAGGCCTTGTATTGGTGTAAATACCTTATGTTCCAAGTCTGGTAGACTGTGCCGCTATTGGGGTAGCATCAGCCTACGGTGCCATTTTATGACTCGTCTTTATTGTAAGGACCTTCTACTTTGGCTGACCGTACTTATCTCTCTCTTTCCAGTTATTGCCATAACCTACGATATCACACTTCGAGGCCTCCCGCGGGAGACCAACTTCAATGAGCTCCACAACGATCTCTCTCATGGATTAGTTTTCGTAGCTTTCTAATCTCTCTCATAACTTTCATTCTCTCAAACTCAAAACACTCGAAAGATCTTTACACTAGCTTTTAGCGTAGTGCAAGATTAATGGTCTCAAGATTGTTGTCGGCGGTGCCAAACTCACCATGCAGGAAGGCCCTGTCATTGGTATCTTTCGTCAGTATGCCTATCATGAAGTCATATACCATTCATTCTGCCGGCCAGTTCGAACACTACCACAATATGGTGGAGGATCAATCCTTCTGCGTTGGAAGCCACCAGTGCATACGTACCAATTGATGATGGCTACATTCTGCCACTTGACTTCATCAACGGACTTCCATATCTTCGCCTACTGATACCAAACTCGAGCGACTTCCCAAGTCACCCTTACTTCTGGACCACAGTGGAACCCCAAAGTCCTTGACTACCGTCATTCTGATCACGATGATTGGTACAATCACATCATATTGGAATCTAATGATACTGCTGTGACCTCTTTTGACTCTACTGGATTCTACCATCACCGTACCCTTCGCAAGGACATCGACCGTGAACACACTACACCTGTCGATGAGGATCCCCTCAGCATCAATCAGACACAGTTTCTTCACTCATTCCGCATCTCATCAAACCTTAACCAGATCTGCACTACTACGCATGCTTTGATGCTGCTATTGCCATCACAGATGAGACTCCCGTCCCCACAATTGTTACGCCTCCCATTGAAGTTGCCCCCAAACGCATTTACTATTCTCTTCACTTGTACCCTTCTTTCTTCATGTCGAGAAGCTTCGACGTACTTTCAAGACTACCACTCAGAATGCTTAGAACGGACACCACATCCAACAAACTGTCCGCTCACCTTATCTGGTTCACAACGTCTGGTGCCGGAACGAACTCGTGGTTACCGACACCATTACTGGTGCTGTTCCCGCCATCGGCTGTGGCCATAAGTATGCACAGATATTCGTTGGTCAGAAATCACTTGTCATCGATGTATTCGGGATGTCTACCTCCTCACAGTTTGTCAACACCTTGGAGGATGTCATCCGAACAATGCGAGCAATGGACACAATCATCTCCGACAGTGCAGCATTGGAAATCTCCAACCGTGTCAAAGATATTTTGCGCGCACTCTGCATCGATTCTTGGCAGATCGAACGTAACTACCAACATCAGAACTTTGCCGCACACACCAAACGCAACCTGCAGTAGCTATATCATGAACCACCACAACATTGACAGTGAGGCCTGGCAACTGTTTCTGGAATGACTTGCCAATGTAATGAATCTCACAGCAGAAAAAACAACAAAATCTTTATAACGGATATGGCCCCAATGGACGGATCATCACTGTGCTGCAGCCGAAGCATTGGGTAACCGCTCCCGGCCGAAGCGGGGATTGGTTTCACAGGAGACCACCACTGGTTCCCTCACCGGCACCACACTCCCTAGGGGAGATGGTGCATTTAAAGTTACATGTAAGTATAAATGGCATATCTCGTGTGGATTTGCCGGACATATATTCCTAACTGATTTGTGGGTTTGGCCGAATGGATTCAGGGAGAGTTACTTGGTGGGTTGGATGGAGGGAGCCATTCCTGAGCGAATTTACGTGAGTTCGAAACGGGACAACGACGGCGAAGATGTAAGACTTCCCACCATCGACATGAGCTAAAGCCCATTTGATATCCCAAAGTCACCTGAAGAAGGGGAGCAAGAAGAAACCCCTCCTTATCCTCAGTCACATATGGACCAACCACCATTATCCCAACAACCCGAAGTGGAGACAGTCAATGAAGACAACGAGAACCTAGTGGACCATATCAAGGATAGACAGCAGCCAGGTGAGCCGAACCCGAACGATGATCCACTAGACCTCAAGTTCAACTTACAGGTGTCCTACATCTTGCAAACAAGAATCATTGACTGGTACACCAAGCTACTGTCTACTGTGTGGAGACCACCACATGAATTCGGTTCTGAATATGTTGCTGCTGCTACAGAATAAATAATCGATCTTCGCAACATTCTACGGTACCTTGGAGTGCCCATTGAGATGTCTACAATGATGTTTGGAGATAATGAGACAGTGGTCAACACTGCGTCGATGCCTCATTCCAAGAGCTTGACATCTAAGAAGCGCATTTTGGGCAAAGTTGATATTATGGGGAAGGTGCACAAAACGCTGGATCAAATTTTAGCGACTCATTTTAGCGACTCATTTATGTGGGTCCCTTATCATGTCGAAGGGCATTATTTTACCCACATACGCCAAATCATGTACTCGTTCACAGATCATATTGCCCAAATGAACAAACATAATGTCCCTGTTAGTCCGTCATATTTTTGTGGAAGTGCGTCGAAAAAGTGTGCTCCGTACAGAGATCTGGTGGTACGCACCTTTATGCCAGTGCGTGGATATTTGGCGCAAATGCCTCCAAAAAGTGAGCTTGGGTAAGTGATAGGACGGCACGTAGCTTTGCCGGAGTCCCCGGACATTTTGCGCAAGTGCATACAAATAGTGAGCACAAGCCGCAAAGGGGCATCACAGAATTTTACCCAATGGCGCTGAGATCGCATGCAAGACGCCAAAGATCCCGTGCACAAGCCGACACAACCATACCTACATTATCCGTCATTACTTTGCCCAAGTGAACATGACTACGACAACAATGACAAAGCAGTTTACAACTAGATAATCGTTAACTTAGTTATTAGCTCAGAGAACAGTACTATTTAGTAGGAGAGGGCAATAGAAAGCAGGGCTGAGCAGAAATGTCTTTGGTTGTTGCAGAAACAGTTCACAGAAAGTCACAGGAACGTGACGCAAACACTGCAGAAGAAATGTCCAATTGGATGAACAGATTTGCCGACTTGCCCAAACCTTTTTCGGAAACCAGGCCAGAAGATCCATCAGAGTTGTTCACTTCTGTTGTTCCATCATACTTCCTTGTCTCATGGATTCTGAACCAGTGTGGTTCAACAGAATTCACAGAGTGCCAACCTTCAGTGTTGTTTATACTCTTGCCACTGTCCTTTCATCTATTCATCCTATCCTTTTCCTTGGTTGTGGTGTTCTGCAAGTATGCTGTTGTTGGGACATATGAACACATGAAGATTGAAATTCTGTCATGGGGTTACCTTCATTGGTGGTTCATTGACAGACTCATTGAGGTTTGGGAATCAATTGCAGGGCAATTTGTTGTTGGGACCAAGTACATTTGGGTCTTCTACTGGCTGCTGGGAGTAGATCTGTCATGGTCAGCCAAGATTGAATCCTACATTCATGAATTCGATCTTGTCCAAGTAGGTTCCAATGCCACTATTGGGCACCCTCTAAAGTGCAGGAAGTTCTCTCAATCCAATGAAGATTGCCCTAAAATGACCTTCCAACCAATTATGATTGGAAAGGACAGCACAATCTCTGGCATGGTCAGCCCTGGAGCCAAGATTGGAGACGGAAGCAAGGTTGTGAAACTATCTGTGGTCCAAGAGAGAGCTATGGTATCAGATGGTGTCCTTGCTCAAGGAAATCCAGCGTACAATGCTGGCCCATTCAAACATCAAGAAGCAAGCTATGCTGAAGAATCTATGTTAGATGTCATCAAGATAGCTTGGACAATCTTTGAAGCATATCACTTCTTTGCACTTTCCTTTGTGGTTCATGCCACACTCAGCATGATTTTGCCTTCTTGGCGATACAGTGGCATTGTTCACTGGATACTGTTATTTCCACTGACATCCTTCCTTGCTCTGCTTACCAGCATTGCCCTCAAGTGGCTTTTGATTGGAAGAAGGGATCCATCAGATGATTATGAGAGTTCTCTGTGGCGTCGAGCAACTAACTGGGCATGTGACTTCCACTTTCACATTGCAGCTTGGCCCATCACTCCATTTATTGGTCATTCAAAACTCTGGACTATCATCCTTTTTCTCCATGGATTGGATGTTGACATGGTTTCGGAGCTGAATATCAACCCTTACACCCAATCCACTCCCTCCAAGGTTGACTATTTGAAGATTCACAACTCCTTTGTTAGCACCATCTATCTCGATTTGAACCATGAATGTGTAGATTCAAAGATTGATATCAGCAACAGCAGCATTGGCTATGGAGTGAATCTTCGCCCTGGTATCAGAATTCAAAATTCTGTACTCCCTCCAAGAGCTGATGTGTCTGAAAGTGTCATTGACTTAAACCGATCGGGCCTGGCATTCCGGCCGAGCTTGATTTTGGACATGGTCTTACCAGAGTGTGCACAACTGGGGTTGAATGTTGTCCTTTTTGCCTCCATCATACCTTCCTTTGAAGTTGGGAGTGTGGCCACAACAAGCTCATCAGGCATTGGTGCTGTGCTGGGTTTGGTTGCTGCTCTTGTGTTGCAGTTGGCTATATGGAACCTCTCCTCTATGGCAGTTGAATGGATACTCTTGAAGCTACCTGGTCGTGCCCAGCAAGCTTTGTTTGGGGTATACATCAACCATGTTTGGATCTTCCGGGTTCGAAACTGGCTCATTCAGCTTCTGTATGGCACGCCCATGTTTGGCTGGTATGCGAGCATGATGGGTGCTGAGGTTGACGGTGATCTCTGGTTTTTTGGTCATACGCTATATGAATTTCGCCGGCTCCACTTTCGTGGCTGCATTATTGTTGACAGTTCTTATGTGAGTGGCCACTTTGTTGATGGAAATGGGCTATCCGTTGATGACACTGTTGTGTCTGGAGTTCTCCATCCTGTGTGTGTTGCTATTGCAGGCTCTGTTGCATCTGGAGAAAATGGTCCTTGGAAGCTATTCTTAACAAGTGGTGATGGAACCAAGGAATCACCACAACCACCACAAAGGGATGCCATCTCCTACCATCTTGGTTCATCTCTTTCATTGCCTGCGGGCAACACTCCTGCCGATATCAACCATTCAAGTCAAGGTCTCCAAGGTGCCACTGATCATATTCGTAGTGAAAGTCTCAATGGCTACGCAGTCCACCAGGACCCGGATACCAGGGAACTTGAAGTATAATGATAACAGCAATGCTAGATCTAAAAACAAAGAGTCTTTCAAATGGATATTATCCCCCATTGACGGATCAACACTGTGCCGCAGCCAAAGCCTTGAATAACTACGCCCAGCCGAAGTGAGACCATGTAGAACGACTACCGTTAGAACTGAAGCAGAGCTGTGTACTTGTGGTGAAGGGGGAATTACTTCCAGGCGCACCTGGCGAAGGTTTCTACAGAGGCTTTGTAGCCAGCTAAAATATGCTGCCTAGCACGATCCATGAAGGCTCTTCTTTTTAAAAAGAAGGGATATGGGTGCCCAGGATTCAAAATGTTTGCTGAGAGATGCGGCGAGTTCTGAGGGAAGTACAGGCCATCTTATTGAAACTCAGGAGGATGACTCTGTCCATCAGGTACCAATTGAGTTCGATGTGTAGTTCGGTAGGACCAGCTTTAATGAACAACACTGAGCAGCAGTATATTGCAACCATCAACTCCTCTGGGTGCTGTACGATAGATAGTTGACTTTGACACCCAGCTAGCCTAGTGAATAGACCGACAGGTGTTTGAGTCAGGGAGAACCACTGCTGAGCTGACTTGACAAGCCAGCAATTCATGTAACTAGTATATCAAGACTTTCTCTGTACAACGTGGCTAGATGGGTGATGATTGGTGATGTGAATAGCTTCGTTGCTCAAGTCTGGCTAGCTCGACTAGCTGAAGATCGATCCTCGATATACGGACGAGCCATCTCCGATCGGTACCTCTGAAAGCTGTTGGATCGAATAAATCAAATCCATCGACTGTGCCACTCCCATTGCATGCTGCAACACCAAAAGGGCAGGTTCCCTATAGAAAGCACAGTGCTGCCGAGTACCATCATAGCCAGCCACGACCATCGCTGCTGAACCACATTGAACAACCAAAACTCGCGACGCAACCGCGTACGTTTGTTCCTGCCCCCAAGTCGGCGAGGATGAAGGAACTTGCTCGAGAAGACAAATTTGGATTCGCCAACATGCGAGTGTGTTGCTCAGCCCCAGTAATCAAAAAGTCGTGGTCCGGTCAGTTCTTGTCCTTGTCCTTGTCCTTGTCCTTGTCCTTGTCCTTGTCAGTTTCCACCAGTTCGGAAACGATTTCCCTCCCAGCCCCCAGTGACCAGGAAGCACCGATACCATGGGAAACCCCGTGGAGTCCGCGCTATCTCCTGATCAAATACGATCGATACCCATTTTCGTCCGACGACCGTTGCGGCGGAATGTAGGCTTCCTCGTCGAGACTGGACATCACGCCCCTCATGTATGGAGCGGCATACCCATGAGCCCCTTCCTTGTCCTGTTGCATTTTTGACCAGTCCAACATTTGCATAATAAGTGGACGCCGTGTGATGCTCTCGGGGGTAGACCCCTCGTTCATCCAAGCGCTCTCGTATGGAGACGATCGCGACGCTTCCACGACAGGATCGTTCGTAATCGCGACCGCAGCATTAATGTTGTTCGCATCTTTTTTGCTGCCAAAGTCTCCCGGCGAAGCGAGAAGGAGAGGTGGCGGTTTGCGATCCCCGTTCTGTGTTTGGCTGGTGTTGACCGAGCCGGAAGCAAAGGAGTTTTGCGAGTTGCGAGACATTCCGGAAGAGTGTCTCGAAAGGGACGTTGATGGCTGACTTGAAAATGATGTGGACGGTTGTCGATTCATGGATTGCTGCTGCAGCGAAGCTTGTCGTCGCATACCCGCGGGCCCCCGTGCCACCATGGATGGTTGTTTCTGAAGCATGGATTGTCGATTCACAGCGGCCTGCTTTTGCATACTTGCAGGGCCCGTTAGCGGAGGAGGTTGTTCCTGCTGCTGAAGCCCCAGCGATTGCAGATTCAGGGAAGGTTCCTTTTGCATGATTCCAGGACCTCTCTTTGCTGACACGGAAGGCTGCTTTTGAAGTCCAATCGATTGCAGATTCAACGAAGGCTCCTTTTGCAGCCCACTTCGTTGCGACATGGTTCGATCGGCTCTTGAACTGCTCAACATGGGTACCTCTTCTTCGGCAAAACTACTATCCCGAGCGTCCTCGTGGACAGACTGTTCGCGGGCACCACGAATGACAAAGCTGCCGTTATTGTTGAGACCAGGCAACCTAAAGCTGGCGTTCATGGCACTGTTCGATCGCTGACTGGCATTCAGTTCCTCCTGACGCTCCAGCAATTTTTGTTGGAATCGATTTTCGAGTCGTCGACACGATTCATCCAAACTTTGCAGTAGATTGCCAACACTGGCCCCTCCTGTCGTTGATTGAGCCGCATAGGATGAATACGACGTTTTGCCCAGTTCGGCCGGTGCTTCTTCGTCGTGCCACGAATCATTGGACGAATCCGACGACGAAGCAAATGATACGGCGCTGCTGCTGGAATCGTCCGACGATGATTCTTCCTCTCCTTCGTTGAGAATTGACATGTGAAAGGGCAACGTGTTGTCCTTTTTTGGTTTCTTGGTTTTCGATGAAGCAAACGGTTCGGGGTTGTCGTTGTGATTATTGTTGTTGCTGTTGGTCCAGGATTCGGCGGCTGCCGGCGGCAAACCATCGGGTCCACCAGTGCCCACTACACTCGCCGTTAGTGATGATTTGTTGGGATCTAACACACTTGACTTGACGAGGGATCCCTTATCGGATGCAATGTGTCCACATACTTTCTTTCCGTAAATGGCAATTGTCAAAATGGCCTTGTATTCGACCAAACAGTAGACCATAAGCACAAAGGGACTGCTCAAGTAGTGAAAAAAGTTGCGCATGGGGTTGATTTCTTCCGCCAATGCCAGTACCTGACTGACGAGTGCATCCATGAAGAATGCCGTCCCAAAGACAAAAATTTGCGTAAAGATAATGAAAAAGGGAAAGATCCATGCGTATTGAAAGTCTTCTCCCAGTCCAAATGGTTGACAGTGCTCCATGGCCAAGTCGGGCTGGGCATAGGAGAGAACAAAAATGACCGTATTGGACATGTTGACCAATCCATTGACACAGAGTACGAATCCGTAGTAATACACGAACCACCAAAAATAGGCAAATCCGGGCAGAAAGTAGTTCCCTCTCAGCAATTTGACAAAAAAGTAATGAAATACTTCGGCGGCACCAATGGTCCATCGTGTGGCCTGCACCACCCATTCTTCGAATTCGCTGACAATGGTATCTCCCGACGTGGGACCACTGAGTGTGGGAATGTCAATGACCCGAATCCGAATGCGTTTCCCCGTGGCCTTCATGGCGGACAGCGTGTATATGATGTCGTCCATTTGATACCCGGGATGAAAGTACCGCGATTGAATGAGCAATCGTAGGGATTGTGAGTAAATACTCATGGTGTTAATGTCGCATCCAATGAGGAAACCAATCATAAAGTAGGATCGCAGTATCCCCATGACCCGTGTAAAGAACCATCGTTCGTCGAGTGCAATATTGTAAAAGAGTGGAGATTGCCAACAAACTTGAAATCGCGTCTGTGGATCTTCCCGTAAAAAGAGAGACGTCAAGTTTTCGAAATACCGATAATAAAAGGTGGTATCGGCATCGCAGACCGTGACCATGGTAAAATCCAAATCGACTTCCTTGGTTTGCGGATCGACGGGCAACATGCCTTCCCGAATCATGTGTTTGACAGCGGTTCGTGCGGCGTAGTTGCGATTGGAACACGCACCGGGAATTTCGCCCGGTACGCCACTGGGATGCACGCTGTACACGAGTGCCTTGAAGGATAATCCGAATTGTTCGTTGATTTGTTGTTTTTTGAGTTCCTGCTCGGGTGTTTTCTGTTCCATTCCCACGACCAAAATGATACTATCGGCAACGGTTTGATTGGCAATACTGGAAATCGTCTCCAGAATCAATTCGACGGGTTCCTTGTACGTGGGCATGACGACAATGTGTTGTACTTTTTCCCGTACTTCTTCATCCAATTCTTCCCAAAATGGCGTATTGAAGGCGCGAACCATTCTCCACATGTACCTCCAACAGAGTATCGTGGTGTAGATGAAATTGAGTGTCATAATGGCGTTGAGTACAATAGTCATTTCGTACGCCATGCGACAATTGACAAAGGACAACCAGAGTGGATAGGGTGCCAACAGTAGTAGCAATAACCAGAGTAGATTCCAGCGACAAATGGAATTGGCCTTTTTGCGATGATCGTAATCCTCGAAAACGTCGCGTCCGGCAATACTCGCTTTCAAGTCGCCCACGATATTGGGGAGATAATTGGGATTTTCTTTGCGTTTGGGAGCCGGTAATGCGATACGTTTGGCTTCCAATGCCGATGTCATGTCCCGGACAGATTGTCGTTTGGTCAATCCGAGGCCTCGACGTCCGTAGGCCGTTTGGACTCCATTGCCCGAACCTCGATTGTGCCACGACGAACTCGTCAATGCTTGAGAATGCGTGGAACCTCCAAAGAGCGATCTCGAATGCGTGGACGATGCCAGACTGTCATCATCATACAAAGCTTGCAAGGCTGACATTTGATCGGCGGAAAACAACCGACTCCCACGTTGACTGCTCCTCGCAGCTGCTGCCGTCATGGTGTGATGAGATGACGACGTCAACATTTCGCTCGTGGCGGGAACATCGTCTAGAATGCTCTTCAAGCTGTCCGACAAATCGTAGTCAGTCAGAATGGAAGGACGCCGATTGTAACTCGGCCGTCTATCAACCACCATGGTATAGAATTTAGACGGGGGCAGAAGAGGTAGAGCTTTATGAGAAGAAAGATAAGGGTAGGGTAGGGTAGCAGTGGGTAGCAGGTGGGGATAAGGGAGGTTAAGGAACTCAAGGATATCACTGGGTATCAGGAGGGTATCTGAGCAGACCAGGAAGGATAAGGAACCGTAGCTTAAGGAGGGTATCAGTGGAAGGAAGATCAGATAAGGGAAGGGTATCAGTGGGAATCAGGGGTATCTGGGAGGCTAAGGGACTCAAGGGTATCGAAGGGTATCAGGGGTATCTGAGCAGATAAGGAAGGATCTAGGTATAGGTAGGCAGGCGCAGGCAGAGAGGCAGACTAGCAGGCAGCGACAGCGACACTGGACTCCCAACCCAAGGAAGACCGTCAAGTCAGAGGATTCAGCGGGAGGAAACGCTGACTCTGATGGTGCTTCCCCCGCACGCCGCCACTGCTGCTGCTGCTGCCAACGATGCAATGCTAATGCCACTAGCTGATGATGCTGCTGATGATGATGCTCTTATTTGTGTCGCTCTCGCTCTCTCGTCTATACCAGTAGTCATGCCCTGGCTGGTTGTGGAATGATGGATGGAGGATGGATGGAGATTGGAGATAGATGAATGAGGAAGCGCTGCCGAAAGTCATGGGGGCTGGAACTTCAAAACTGCAGTCATAATGCAGATTGTTCTCCCGTTCTCCCTGTAGAGCAGCACTGAAGTACATGTACTCGCTTGTTTAGTACATGTACGATTCACTGTGATGTGCTATGGTAATTAACAATAAACTTTGTAAAAAGACGGGTGTCTACAGCTTCGTTGTTGAAGAGTACTCTGATTACAACATACCCCACTAACCTGATTGGATCAATCAGCAGCGCTTCCGTTCGGGTGGTTCCTTTCCGGATCTGCGTACTGTACGAGAGCACGTGCTTTGGATGGTTCAGCATCAAATTTATTTGTTTGTTTGGTTTCTTTCTTCTTTGGCGGGCCAATGATTGACTTTATTTAATAAAAGCAGACAACTCGGTACCATTTTCGGGAAGTTTGCTCCGCAGCCGGCTTCATCCTGCATGACAAGCCACCCCTCTCTGCCTGATGCTAACTAAAACTGAAACTGAAACTAAAACTCAACTGAAACGGGATCTCTAGTAGAATCGGATCACTGGATGGCTATCTAGAAGTGTTCAAGGATCCACCGAAGGTTTCCATGCCAACCTTTTAAAACCGGACGTGTTACCTTCCAGTTTTCAATTTTTGTAGTACCAGTATGTGATACCAGTAGCTCCTCTCCGTCTGGGAATATACTTTTCCGGTACGGCATTCTACTGTCGTTGTATACATATATGCTGCTGAAGGATGCTAGCTCACTCATTTTTAGAGAAAAATCGTCATCCTTTTGACCATCCTCTTGTAAAAAGCTACTGTATCACAATAACCCTCCGTATCTCACGCACAGTACTGTACGGTACAGTGGAAGCTACCTGGTAGTGGATGAACATCCATGTTCAAACCATTCAAGAATGGGAGCTGGGGTAGTTTTGGTTTTTGCTACACAGACAACAGCTGGATATAAGAGTTAGAAAAGATTTAGTCCACATATTCTTATGCTGAGCACCCCGTTTCCGTGCAGTTGTTTCTGAGTCTACTAATTGTCATAAGATGGTTTCTTGAGTCAATGGCCATCAGTACTCTGAGAAAACTAATTGAAATTTCGCTGGGACTGTGAATTTTTGGGCCCCTTTAATGCCTTCATTCAATGCAGGAGAAAGTCTTACATATCGTTCTCCTACAGAAAGAGCGACTTAAGACACAGGCTGTGCTACAGAATGTCTGCGTGCCTCCCAGAACAGCCATTCCTATTAAGAAAAACAGGAACACAATGACTGATGTTGGCCATAATATTCGTCGACTGGCAAGGTAACTTTGGATCGTTGATCTTTGGAACGGAAGAGTTGGTTCTGGTACCATTATTTTGCCACCTTGTGGGACCACTGCTCGATACACCATAAGGGGCTGCAAAGATCCACCTGCTCGTCCACTGTTCCTGACGAACTGGAGCAAATATAATATGCTGTTGGGTACAGAATGTCTGCCCGCCTCCCAGAACGTAAACCTCCATCACTGCATTCTAAGCAAGCATTCGGCAAGGGGCAAGAAGGTAACTTTGTATCGTTGGATTGGATTGCAGGTATCGTACCGCTTGGTGCGTACCTTGTGGGACCATTGTTGGCTCAATCGATAAATGGTTGTAAAGATCCACCTGCCAATCTGCTGCTCTTGGCGAGCTGTGTGTGTCTTGTTCTTTACTTTGTTCGTTCTTCATGGCATGGACAGCCCCTTGCCTTGGAGGAGCGAGTTTCGCTCTACCGGAATTCTTGTTTATCTGAATAGAGCTAGGCAGCACTCCTTGGTTTATTTAATTATTGGCTGGCGATGACAGCATTGGTGCGCTCCGGTCTGCATCCTCCATTTTCTCGCAATTACTACGTTTTAGCCGTACGCACCGTACCGTTGCTCATCGATCCATCAATAATGCCATGGCCACAAAGCCAGGACAGCGGATGGGCACTTTAGAAAGTCAGGAGAGCGCAGGGGGGAAATGGCAAACATTAATTAGTAAGCAATCAACCAACCCAACAATGCTTTCCAACCTGGAGCTTTTGCTACTGCAACCCAGAAGGTAGGACCAGCATACATATACACAGTCTAAGAAACTAAACTAGCTAGCAAATCAATACTGCTACTGGCAGACGCCGTAGAGCTTGAGATTGAAGGGTCTGCCTGGCTATGGTAGTCTACTAGTCTTCGGATCGAAGGTTTCGACGTCAATCTGGCTTAATAATGATGTTTGCCACAGGCCACAGCATAATATTGTGGCATTGTGGCCCTCTTCCTTTACATGAAGAGACATTCCTTTAAGCAGATGCTTCCACGAGTTCTTTGGCTAGTGCCTGCGCAGATCCGCGAATAGTATGACAAAGCGTAGCTTGGGTAAAGTTAGAGTAGTATAAATAATTCTTTACCTCTTCTTTGTTTCTTCCAAATTTGTTTCGCAAGAACTACGAATCCTCCAAACCATCTTTGATAAATAAGGGTTTCCAACTGCGCTGGCTGATAATAGCAGAGCAGCAGCTGCATGCAGCAACCTTCCATCCAAGGCCTTCCATAGCATGCAAGAAGCAAGACCACTCTGCTACCCAAACATCTCAGGAAGACAGGAAGAGCTACCTGCAGTATACCCTTCCAATACCCATACTCCAAGATGAGGACGATAATGAATCGAACGCGTAGATATCTCTATAGTTGTGATCTGAGGGTATCACGGCTCCTTATCTTGGTAGTGCTGCTATTGTTAAGCTGTGCTACCCAAAGTTCTACAAGTGCTGGTAGTAATACCGGGACTAATAGCAACGGCTTTACGGAATGGCTCCAGCAAGAAGAAGAGACGACCGTGAGAAAGCTGCAAGAAGAAGGCATAAATAGAGGAACGGTACTTGATATCATCCCGGTACGGTACAACGACGAAGAGGAAGACGACGGAGACCCCGAAGACGAAGAACTACTAGTCGAGGCGGTCGAAGAACTCGATGGCTTGGGAGTTACATTTCTACGGGAAGAACCAGAACAAGACCTCAATGCTACCCTTTTTTCTAACGATACCACCACCATTCCTACTAGCAGTACTACGGAGACTGTGGTCAAGATCATTCGCGGCCCTGGCACGAACTTTCAGCATACGGTACCGTACAATTTCACGCACATTTTCCTCGTGGGAGGTCACTGCAATGTACCCGGCGAAGAAGAATGGGTGGCGGGTGATTGGTATACCAAATTTGTGGGTGCGGGAATGGAAACACTAGGGGTTCCGGTGGAAAACAATATTTGCAGTAATGTCAAGGGCAATGCGTATACCCGCGATTTTCACGTCGAAGCTCTGTGGCAAGTCCAGGCACTCGTGGGGAATCAGTTGAATGAAACACTGGTGATTACCGCCGCGATTGGGCTCGAGAGTGATTGGTCTCCCGTGGCGGACTTACTACGACAAGGCATGTCGTTCTTTCATGCCAAAGAAGACGCCCAGAACTTTGATCTCAAGGCGTTTGGATTGGATACTCGCGATGTCCTCTATTACTACTTTCGGTGGGACGAAGCCGGATCGGCTGAACGCGCCGGTCGCGAACTCTGTCGGGTCAAGGGTGGCACCCAACAATTGAAAGTCGCGAAATTGTTGACGGGTGGTCGTAATGGCTCCCTCGATTATCGTGTCAATCTCGCCATTGACACGTACACGCAAGAAAACAATTGCGCTCACATTGAAATTGTCAATCTCTGGACGGTCTATGACAATGTCACCGATCAAGCGCTCAAAACGACGCTCATCTTTAATCCATTTCCCGATATTATCTTTACGGCACAAGATCAAGTCGCCAAACGCATCATTGATATTGCCCGAAATGCACTGTCGCCCGATCAATTCAGTCGGATTGCCACTACGGGATGGGATAACATTGAAGAGCAGTTGCTGAATGATTACAAGATTCTGACGACCGTCGATCAATTGGTACACTATCCCGGAAAGGGACTCTGGGGGGTATTCAAAACTGTCATTGGGATTCTAGAAGAAACAGGACTCAATTCCACCAAGACCATTCAAGACGAACTCGATCTCGGCGAGTCACTTACCATCAGCTCGGATACACTCACCATTTCGTCCGATCGAGTCGGATTCCTCATTTCCAATCTATTACAAGGATACGATGCCGGATATCCACCCTTTCAAGAAGTCGAGGTTTCGTCCGGATTGTACGATGTCACCATTACCAAAATGATACCCTTTGAAGGAAAATTCGAAGCCGTACTTTGGCTCCAAACGAGTTGGCACGATCCTCGACTCGAATGGAACTACGACGTGTACTCGGGAACACTCCCGATGGATCCCGAAACCATTTGGACGCCTCGTCTCTACTTTCAAAACGAATTTGACAATGAAGATCTCTACACGGCACCCGCCATTATCACACACACTGGCAAGGTCACCATGCGACAAAACATGATGGCCGAATTCCTCTGTTCCACCACGGAAGATCTACGGTCGTTTCCGTTCGATATTTACAGTTGTGCCATTGTCCTCGGGGCACCCGCCAGTATTACACTGGATTACAAGTACGGATTTGAAGTCATTGAAGTCGATCCGCACTTTACCACCACCACCGCCACGTCACTCGATGAAGAAGTTGGAACGCCCGATCCACCGGGGGCACGATCCGAATTTGTCTATTATCAAATGATTTTCGAGAGGCGGCCCTTTATCGCCTACGTACGTCTCATTTTGCCGGCTGTATTGATTAACATGGTCGGGTTCATGGCCTTTTGGATTCCGGAAATGCAAGAATCCGTCGCGCTGGGAATCACGTCACTTCTCTGTTCCTTGACCTTTCGAGAAACGGTCGAAATGCCCGATACAGCCGATGTCACGTGGACCGAAGTTTTTATGATGCTCAATGTCAGTTATCAAGCATCCGTCATGTTTATCATTTGGTGTTCCTACGGACACTCCAACAAAGTTGCCGCCGCCCTCGATCATTTCTTTGGATTCATTCATCCCGTCAAGGTATTCCGATGGATACTCCAGTTGCCCTTTTTGACGGGACGGTATGTGGCCGAAAAAACCATTATCAAACCGGCCAATGTCCAGCCCCGCGATTACAATCAAGCGGTACGACCCGTCCAGTACGGAGTGAGCCCCACCACGTTTATGCGACGAGACAAGTTTGGTCGCAGTTTCATGGGGCTACCGCAGCAGCAACAACAACCACAGCAGTATCAACAACCCATCGCCGAACCCATGTACACCAATGACAATACTCGAGACTTGGTCGCCAACGAACTTTACAATAGTGGCAACGCGTCCCTTTCCAGTTTTGCCGGAGATGATCACGAAACCGCCAATCACACCGCCTTGAGAGCGTCGACGCATTTACGATCGCAGTTACGGGGTATGGACACCATCTCGGGGGCCGACGGTGACGAGGACGACTGGGAGTTTCATGGAGCCTCACGGCATACCCGACGTCTCCCACCCGCGTCGGCCGACAACTTGTACGGTGACGTCGATCCCAACATGTATGACAATGACAACAACAACAAGGACACCAAGGGCAACTATAATATAAATGCCAGCAAGACCAACAACCCAAAAGGAAAGAAAGAGATCAAGGAACCCAAAGACCGAGTCAATGTCGATTGGATCGGTCGATGGTTCATCTTTACCAGTTACGTCATTGTCACAGCTACCTTGCTGGCGACGGGATGGGGTTTCTACGATACTCCGGGGGCTGCGAGTGCCGCCATTCTGGGTGTGGGACGATTTGCCCAATAAGATTGTTGGAATCGAATCTGCGATATCTTTTGGGACGAGGGAATAACTTCTCCAGAGGCAAGGAAGTGTCGAGTCGAGTATGGTACTGGACAATCAAAAAGGGTATATGCGAAGGCATGGTATATACGAATGGACGAGCAACCGCGGTGCAATGGGTAGCTGCCAGTCGGTAGCGGAGTCCTTCTCGCCCTTTCGGATGGTTCTCTCGGTTGGCGCTTGCTGTCTGCTTTCGGTCTGCTGTGGCGGATCGATTTCATTCGCTTCGTATTCATTTTTAAAGACCGGAAAACGTAGAACTGGTTTAGTAGATGATTATAGTACTTTTTTGCATGTACACCTGTCCGAGTTTCTATCAAGCCGGCTGTCAGAGTCCCCCAGTTGCCTTCTGGTGTCAGAGTCTGCTGTGACTTTGGAATTTCGTGGATCAACAGAGAACAGCAGGAAGTTCTGTGCACTTTTATCATCTCCATGATTGTGAGAATGAGATCGATTGATGTTCGTGTCATCAATCTTGATGCTGCTTCTCACTGTCGCAAGGATCCTGACAAGGTCCTTCGCAATGGCGAACGTGACAAGAAACGCAAGTATCTCGACGCCTGTCTTTCCCAACGCCGCCACTTTACTCCGTTTGTTGTCTCTGCTGATGGTCTCCTTGGGACCGAAGCTGAGGCACTCGCGAAACGTATTTCCGCTTTGCTCGCTGCAAAGTGGGAACGCCCTTACTCAGTGGTGCGTGGCAACGTTAATGCTCGGCTCAGCCTAGATATTCTTCGGGCCCGCCACCTCTGCATGCGTGGCTCTCGTGTCCCAGCTGGCACAATGAGCTACCGTCGTTCTCTCTGGGATGCCGATGGTGCACTTGCACTCTTCCGCTAATTTTGCTCCCTTCTCCTTCCTGGTTTTCCTCCCTGCACCCCCCTTCCCTGCCCCCTTTTTTGCCCTGCTCGCGTCCTCATTGCTCTCCCCGTACGCCCACCACAACAGCCGCCCACCACCGCAGCCACTGCTTTGCCTCTAGTTTCGCCCCCTCGCTCCTTAACGTATCTATTTAGTATTTGTTTTTGCTCTAATAATTCATACTACAGTATACAAGCACCTGGGATCTCAACAGACAGATCAGTACTATACTCTGGTGACACTCACTCAAAAAACGTTTTGGGTCCTTGGCAGCAGCATCACTTCTTAAGAAGACCTTCCATGGACCATGTTCGGCATTGGACACTGCTGAGCCAGCAGGATGCTGAATGCAGCAGCCCAGAAACATGGGTGTCAGCAATGGATAAAATCTTTCGATCAATGTAGTGGGCGCTCACATGGGCGTTGTCCAGGATGGTGCTAACTTGAAAGTGAAGCTTTCCACACTCATAGAGAGCATTGCAAAAGTACCAGAGATCCCCTTCAACTCATTGGTTTCCACCAAGCAAGCCTGTGATAATGGTGAGTATTTTAGAAAACATGCAAGGGGGCCTAGCTAGAGAATTCGGTTATTATTCACCAGTGTGAAAGGTGGTGTGTAAGGGGCCTAGCCAGAGTAATGGGTTATTTTTCATAAGTATGAAAAGCTGGCTGAGGGCTTCTTGCGTGACTACACAGCAGCATCAATGCTTTCCACTGTAAAGTCTGCGTGGTCAATGTCAACAATTCGCTGGAAAACCTTCCAAGGACCATTCTCTACTCCAGAAACCAGTGACCCTGCTGGAGCATAGCAACCTGGGTGCAACAGTCCAGTTACAAATGTGTCATCAATAGTTAGCCCATTGCCATCAACATAGTGGCCTGTTACATGAGCACTATCCACAATGACAGTGCCTTTGAAATGCAAACAGCCATACTCATAAAGTGAACTGCCAAAGTACCAGAGATCACCATCAACCTCAGCTCCCATGAATTGAGCATAATAGCCAAACATGGGGGTACCAAAGAGAAGGATCACAAGCCAGTTCAATGAAGAGAAGATCCAGGCATGGTTCAGATACACCCCAAAAGTAAAATCGAGGAGTGGTTTGGTGACATCAAGAAAGGTCACCGAATAGACTGACTTGCTAAGAAGCACCCATAGGAAGAACTGTAGGAAGATGGCCACTACAACACCCAACCCTGCCACAACCATCGATGGACTTGTCACAACGGCCAAGCCAAGCTCAAAGGCTGGTACCAGACTGAGAAAGATAAGAACATTCAGAATTACCTGGGCTGTTTCCTGTGCAACCATGATCAGGACACTCTTCTTGACAAAATCTTTTCCTTTGGCATGATTCAAATCATAAACAGAATCTGATAGCTGTGAACGTGGTGGTATAGCGGATCTCACAACCTTGATGCCAGCAGTAAGATGGGCATTGTAGCCTATGCTGCTACCAATGATCTCAATTATTTGGGATCCCTGCACATGGCTCTCAAGATCAATGGAAAAAGTCCCAACAAAGGAGCCTTGGACTTTTACAAAATCAACCTTGGAAGGGACAAAGATGGTGTATGGGTTGATGTTTAAGGTTGATGTCATGTCAACATCAAGACCATGAAGGAATATGATCACATTCCACAAACGGGAATCCCCCAAGAAGGGGAAAAGGGGCCATGACGCAAGCTTGAAGTGGAAGTAACAGGCCCAATTGGCCACGCTGTGCCACACTGATCTATTGTACTGTTCTGAAGGATCTCTCTTTCCAATCAAAACCCACTTGAGAATAATGCTGGTGGCCATGGCAAGAAGTGAAGCCATGGGGAAAAGGAGGAACCAGTGCAGAAGGGCGTTATAGTGCCAGGAGGGTAAGATCTCGTTGAGAAATCCATGCACCAAAAATGACAGAATGAAGAATTGATAAGCTTCCACCAAGGTCAAAAACATTTTGAAGACACCCAGGATGCATTCTTCCCACCAGACTGTTTTGGGTTGTTGGTAGGTGCCAGAGTTGTATGCAGGGATTCCTCTTGCAATAACTCCATCAGGAACCATGACATTCTCTTCAACAAAACTCAGTTTCTCTACCTTGCAGCCATCTCCAATCATTGCACCAGGACTGACCATTCCAGAGATATTGCAGTTCTTTCCAATAATGATTGGTTGAAGAGACATGCTAGGGCTCTTGGCATCACATCCCGCGGGATGAAATCTGCGACAGTGAAGAGGGTGTTTAAGAGAGGAGTGTTGGCCAATCTTGATGAGATCAAACTCCCGCATGAATGAATCAATAGTCGTTGACCAGGCCAGTTCTGCTCCTAAAAGCCAGTAGAAGAACCAAATGAACTTTGTCGCAATGACAAACTTTCCAACCAACACTTCCCACATGTGCAGAAGCCTGTCAATGAACCACCATCGCAAGTAATCCCAAGTCAAAAGCTCAAATTTGTGCGGATGGTATTTGCCAACAATGGCAAGCTTACACATCACAACAAGGACTGAGAAAGTGACAAGAAAAAGTGGAAAAGCAAGGGGCAGCAAACATAAGCTCAATCCAAGGCTAGGGTTCCCTTCCTCATTGGATGGTTTGCCATACTCAATGGCCCATGCTCCAAACAAAAAGGAAGGAACAGCTGAAACCAAAACCAAGACAACCAAGACCACTAAAGCAAAGCTCTGCATCAAGCCAAGCTGTAGCTTGGTACACCTTGATCTTGGGAGATTCCATTGATATATGTCATGGTCTATAGCTGAGCTTTTTGGAAACCTCTGTCCTGCTGTTTGGATCAAAAAGACTTCAAGTAAATCTGGAGTGTCATGGATCAATACAAAGTTTGCTAGAAGAACCACATGCAATTCTTCCTCCACCTTGTTTCTGAGTTCTGCACTTCTGAGCGATGTCAAACCATGCTCTGCCCAAGTCTTGGATCCATCGACTGATGATCCAAAAACAGATGTGATGGTGTTGGCATATCTGATGGAGAAGTCATCGGTTGTAGCTGCAGCACTACCTAGAGAAGCCTTTATACCTGAGCTTTGGTTGATTGCCTGGATTTTTGGTTTTTCTCTTCCCCATTGGTCAAACAGGGAGAGCCAATCTTCTTCATTGAGTTTCATTCCTTTTTCTCCTTTTGGTGGTGGGTGGGTGTTTCCAATCTTTTGAGCCCAGGAGAGGTTGAACTTTCCAAAAACTTGGAGTGCTCTTTTTGACAAGATTGACTTGGTGTAATAGTTTGGAGACATTATCTTCCTTCCAATGGCCTGAGAAACCAAGTACAAACTAGTGACCCTGGCAAACAGAAAACCTTCATTGACATCTCCAACAAGGTTTGGTAGCAGCAACTTGGAAAGCAACCAAGTAGACGAGTCTTGGTCGCCAATCCCTAGATTGCAATAGAGGAGTAGGAATGACTCGAGGAGTGAGGTTGGCACTAATCGAGTAGGCAATACTGAACAAGCCAACTTACAGGATACAAAGTGCATGTTCTAAGCAATGTACAGATCATTCCAGGTAGAAGTTGAATATTCAAAGAGAACCATTTTGGATCTGGCTGTAGCTGCCAAAATGGGATAAGCTGCAAGAACCCTCCCAACCTCAGAATTATCCTTGAGACCCGTTCCTCTGTTCAAGCCAAACAGCCTCCAACAAATTTATGTTCAAAACGTTGTTGAATCTCTCAACTTGTGTGTTGATAGCAGGCTCACCAGGGGATTCCAAAGCCTTTTGAATCAGCTTCAAAAAAGTACGAACTGACCTGTTTTTTATCCACGTGAAGAATGGCCACGTTCCATGCATTGGGTCTTTCTCCGGTAGGCCAAGCACATCTTGTAGCTCCACTGGAACTGTTAGAATACTCTGGCTCGTGCTTTCCCATTCTGCATCATTCTGCAACTTTTGTTGCATGCACTCAGGAAGATTCATCATGAAGGTTGTCACCCATTGAAGCACAAATACTTGGTGCACAAGCTGAAAAAGAAAACCGGTCCTGTCCTCAATCAAAATCCAATCAGAATTTTCACTAAGGGTGTGAGCAAGCTGGCAGATTGTGGGTTGCTTGTCCTCAAGGTGTTTCAAAATTTGACAACACATGGTCGTCATTGCTTCTGTTGTTTTAACAGCTTTGGACCAAGCCTCACAAATCCCAGGGATTTCATCAAGATGCAGCTCTGAGAAATACTCATCCAACTTGCTGGGGTTGCACTCTACAGCATGGACAGCTTCAACAGCTTTGCTGGGAAGTGTATTTGTTTGGCCAAAGTCAATATCAGGAAGCTCAACACATCCAAACGGTAGTGCCGCCGATCTTATCCTGATTTCATGGCGAGTTTCTTCTGACAAATAGAACTCGCTGCTTGTAACCCCGCTCGTTGAAAAGCCATGCTCAAGGAAAGAGCTCTTCTTGAAACATGATCCATTCGGTGATGGCATATTCTGTTGTTGGGATCTTAGGAGCACTTCAGATGCCTTCCAATCACCACCAACTGTTTTCAGCCTGACTTCATTCCTCTTAAGCTTGCCAGAGGTGGTCTTTGGTGTTACACCCAACTTCAGAACAAGAACATCGGAGACAAGAAGTCCATGCACCTGAGATACATGATTGGCTATCTGCACCGCCAAATCTCCGTTTGCCGACTTGTCGAAGTCCTTGCGGCTCTCCACTGTGATACCAACACTGTCTTCCCCATGCTGGAAGGCAGTCGTCCTGCCTGGACGGATAGCGTCACCAAAGAGACCATCAATAGAAAGCTCTACATCAGTTGGATAGTAGTTCTTGCCATTGATAATGATGACGTCTTTGACTCTCCCAGTGACATAAAGCTGTCCATCCACAATCTTGCCCAAGTCACCAGTGTCAAGCCAGGTCCCATCATAGCCTGGTAAGACATTTGCAAAGGTGGATGTAGTAAGCTCAGATTTTCCATAGTAACCAGCAGCCACACGGGGTGACTGGGCCCAGATGCATCCAACCTGTCTATTCTCAAGTTCCTTGCCATCCTCAACGATTCGAAGCTTGATGGTTGGAGAGTCAACAGCACCGCAGCAGACAAGCCCCTCAGAGTCGGGGTATGCAGAGCCACCAGTGAGGAACACGACAGATTCAGCAAGTCCATAGATGTTGTATACATGCTCTGGTTTGATGGAGAGGGTCTTTGCTGCTGCTTCCACAACATGGCTCTGGGCAGGTTCCCCGCCAAACATGGCTCGCTTCACGCAACTCCAGTTGGAAGTTCGATTGGCTTGCTCCAAACGTTTCAGGAGCAAGGCATAGGCAAAGTTTGGGGCACAGGTATGTGTTGCCTGGTAGTGCTCTATCATGTCTGTCCACAGCAGAGGTCTTGAAACAAACTCCAGGGGTGATGCCAGCACAAGGTGGAAGCCATCATAGAGACAAGACATGAATCCCGCCACAAGGCCCATGTCTGGATTATAAACACGACAGATACTGTGAGAATTTATCCAATCATAATAGTATGCTCCTTGTGTTTTGAACTTACCATGGTATTGAGGCACCCACAAGGCTGCCACGGATGACGGAGTTACATCTGTCATTTTCACAAGAGCCATGCAATTTTCTGCTAAATTTCGGTGGCTGATCATGACTCCTTTGGGTCGTCCAGTACTGCCAGAGGTATATTGAATAAAACACACATCCTCAGGCTCCCCCTTGTAGGTCTCAAAATCTTTGGGCTTGTTGGGTTTATGTTTCTTGATTGTTAGCTTGTCGGTCCCAATCCAAGTGACGCCTGTCTTGAAGAGGACACTGGCTGCAGTCATGGCAGTGGCAAAAGCAGCAGAAGAGAGAGCATACTTGGCTCCCGCATCTTCTACAAAACCACGGAATTTGGGCATGTCTGTCTTGAGCTGGTTGGGATTGGGTGGATAGATGGAGCAAGGGATGACTCCCGTCTTCATGGCACCGAACATGCCAGCTAAAAACTCAAGGCCAAACGGATATGCCACCATGACACGATCTCCTTTTTTGCATCCCAGTTTGAGGAGTCGAGCCGCCACAGCATTGGATTGGTCCTCCAGTTGCTTGAACGTCATTGTTCCTTGCTCCTTGCAGTTGATGTCGACCCAGGTGTAAACTACCTTGTCAGGAGTCTCCACAGCATGGTTGTTGAGGGAATCAAGAATGGTGGGGAAGAACTTCATGGTTGTTGATGTCTCTGTTATGTGGACGTTTTTTTTTGTGAGGTATGCTCAGCATCGAGCAATCTAGCGGAGTTGTCAGAACCACTGTTTGTTTTGCTGGGTCGGGTTAAAAGAATCAGTACCAGTAGGCACGACGAGCTCAGTTGCTTTAACATGCATGCGGCCGGGAGAACTGAATACTTAAATCTTGGCTTGAGCCTGCTGGTTTTTATTTAAGCTCCGTGACTATCAATCACAACATCAGCCCTACCACCGACAGCCACGGGCAACCGTTACCATCCATACAACCAGCTTTTGCGCCAACGACAGGCGACAGAGTACTACTGTAGCTCTAGATTATCTATAGGAAGCCTGCAGCGAGGGCCAGGCTTCAGCAAAGAAGATTCGAAATTCAGGACCGGCATTTGTTTGCGCCTGGTTACGGTTTGGATGGCCTCACCAACTGAAGCTTTATACCAGTATTCCGTAGCAGTGTTTGAAGCAAAAAGCCTCAAGGTTTGCATGGACGTGACCGCTGACCTCGAGGCAGCTAGTTAGCTACTAGGCACGAAAAATGCTGGAGTGTGATAACTACTTCGGCCTGGCCGGTCAGCTCTTGTCCTACGGACCGGTATGAAATGCAGTACCATAAACATCCTCCAGCAAGCATCCATTCGATTCGATTAGCATAGAAGAAATTGAGCCTTACGCTCCTGCTCTGAGCGTACTGGTCCGCTATCGAACTGGAAGGGACTGCTCAAGTTGTGGCCATTCCACGTACTTGAAATGGCATCGATTCGATTGATCATTCGAATCAATGCGATTGCATTTTGCACAAAAAACAAAAAAAATACTGAACATCTAATAACGGATTCAGACGAGATGTGCTTGAGGACGACCCACGAGCCGAGGCCCAGGTATTTCCCACAGTCAAGTCTGCTCACCGGCCACACTGGCCTCCTGAGAGGGTGCGACGCCTGTTAGCTATCTAAGGATTTGATGCCTGGTTGGACATGGTCTTTCGTCGATATTGCTACTGCCATGCTTGGTTGACGCGTAGTAAACACGCAACTCTACGGTAGGAAAAAAGTCACCAGGTCCCCCCGATTCGGGTAACAAACTTGTCAGGAGTCTCCACAGCATGGTGTTTGAGGGCATCCAATGCATGGTGGTTTTTGGCTCAAGGCATTCAAACGATTTTGAGAAGAACTTCATGGTTTCGATTGTATCCTTTGCGTATGCTGCTCTTTTCTATGTTATGGCGACAGTTGTCGAGAGGTGCATGACGATGGACATACATGAGAGCAGAATGCTAAGAAAAACAGGAAGATGCATCGGCAAGTCCTTCCATCGATATTTTAGTCGAGGAGTGGTTACCATGCATGATACCAATCGACGTTTTGGATTTGGTGTGCGGTATAAAATAATATTTTAACTACGAGAAAATGTCCCAATGTTTATTACTAGTAGACTACGAGTATGAGGCAGGAGCAACTTTGGATCAGGCTTTCGGGTCTGATCTCGATTTAGATGACAGCAGTGTTGATACTATCAGCAATAGTGTAGCAGTGCTGATGACAGCAGCAGCACGGGCGGGTCCGGTTGGTGACCTTCCCCTTCATATCTTGCCTCGGTTGGGTTTTAAACTTTCCCGGCTGAGGGGGCCAACTCTCTCCGCCCCAATGTTTGTGGGGGTTATCGGTTTAGGGTAGCGGCACGGTGGACAGTCGTACTCAGAGTAGCCTTAAAATAGAATTCTATTCTCCTTTAGTAGACTATGAGTACGGATTCGGATTGAATTGACCCCGAAGGGCTTCTCTCAAGAATTCGAGGGTCGGCTCAGAAATCCGAGCTTTGGCTCAGAAATCCGAGCTGCCCTGTAGAGCTCTGGTACAGTTTCTACATAGGCACAAATCCGAACTCAGCTAAAAAAAAAAGGGAGTCGCGCAATGGGTGGGCTGGAGAAAACGGCCCAGATGCCAAAGGATATCTGCGTGGAAATGTACAAGCTCTACAGCTTGAATTCCTGAGAGAGCCCTCGAATTCTTGAGAGGACCCCTAGAATTCTTGAGAGAAGCCCTTCACAGTCAATTCATCCCTTTGTTGTTTCTGTGGATGGCATGCTCGCCCCTCAAGCTAAGATTCTTTTACAATGCCTTGCTTCTGTGACTACCACCAAAGCTCAATTCTCAATTCTCAAACTCTCAAATGATGTTCTTCATGCAGACCCCACATCTCTATATTGCCCTTGTGAAAGTTATGTCTCCGTTAATCCCGCAAAGCCAAACCCTTTGCCCCCATCATGGTCCTCAATTTCTCGTCCCTGATTTCACGGAACCTAGCATAGTCCTGAATTTCGACTCTTCTTTGTTTAAGCCCGGCCCTGGCTGGCTTCAGTAGATAATCTACCTACTCTAACCTCCATCACTGTGAAAATTGTTGTGATTTGAATAAAAAACTAGATTGGATTAGATTAGATTTCAGATTAGTTATAGTTCTACAACATTTCAACTGGACATGTCATTTAATGCAGAGGGGTCCTGGAGCCAAAGAATGACCCCCCACCCACTCTGACCGGGCTTGACACTGAAATACCTACAGCTTGTCTTCACACCAGTCAATATCTACAACCTCACACAACCAGTGATGAGGCAATGGCATCAACACATCCTCAAGGTAGAACCACAATTTTAGAAGCTCACACGTTGTTTTATTGACCTTTGCACTATCCTTCTTGATTTGAATAAAGAGGTCAAACTCATTTCCTTGGTACTTTCTATTACTGCATAGATTCCCTCATTTTGGTTCCAGGGGCATTAGCCTGGGATCGTTACCAATCCCTTTGAGTGTCATGAAGCAATGGATATGACCTAACAGCTTCCCATACCCCCTGCTTCGTAATACTCCAGTGAAAAAAAAATCCCAGGCCCCCCACTTTCCGTCTCCTCAACACTTGGAATGCCCATGAAAATTTGGTCGTTCCGTTTGTGCTGAGTGTCAATTCGAAGCTCATGAATAACGGTCGTCCTCAAGCAAGCAAATCAGATCTTCCATTTCCTCCTGCAGATCTAATAGGAACAAAGAACATCATTGCCCACCTTGATGGTGGACTTGTCCGGATTGCCCACCTTTATCATCATCTTTTGTGTGGTCCGCCTCTTCTTCTTGATTTTTTTTGAAGAATGCACGCATCTCCATTCCCACCATAATTTAATTACACCTGGTCGCCATCCTCGTTCCACCCTGGCTCCGCTTGACTTAGGAAAGCAGTTGGTGACTACCAGAGTGTGGAGATGTACTTGATGTGGAAATTGATTTCCCAAATTGTGAGATCCATGGTACTGGTGGTTGTCAACTATGAGCCGAAACATTCATCAAAGAACCCGTGAGTGTTACAGTTTCCACGTCGAGGAGCGAGTGTGGATAGGGATATGGATCGTGGAGTGCTGCTTGACAACGTGTGCTGACACCCGCCTAGCACAGCACTGCATGACTAGTAGAGTAGAAAAGGGTTAGGAGATGGTGGAGAAACACGTCCATTTACTAAGCTGACTGTCGTCATTGCCCAAGGGTATCATCACTCATGATCACTCATGATTGAGAGAATCACAAACTCGTGGGAACCAAGGCATGAATGAAGCGGTCACAGGGGACCAGGAGTCCCGCATAGTTGTGTAACATCCGTCCAACCAAAAAGCCAAAGGCAGATCATGCAAGGCCTCTCAGGTTGGACTAAGGTAGGCGTCTTTATAGAGTTTTTCGTGGAGAAGAACCTGTGCGATAACTGGTAGGAGGCGCCTGAGTTGGTGGAAGGAACTTGCCGTAGGTTCCAGCCTAGAAGATGTAGGCACCATTTGTCAGTATCTGCTGAGAATATTGGTGTGTGATGGTGGCAGCCTGGATTCAGAAATAGTACAGCATGGCTTCCGACCTCCACCTGCTGAGCAGGTGGATGGCGTCGCAATCCACTTGAGGACAGAGGAGGGTAGTGGCGCCGCCTGGCCAAAGGGATCGAACGAACACTTTCAGATTGATGGGAACACTTGCTTTCAGATAGATGGGAAATTTTGGTGGTCTTTTTGAGAGCCTTGGAGAGTGTTGGCAATGAACTGGTGCTTGACATTGTACCAGCCTTTATTGAACAGTGAACACTGTAATGCATGGTGAGTGGGGTCTTGGATTTCTCCAAGATCGAGGTCTTGAGTTTGTCGGTGTGAGTGCAGATGTGGCAAACAACCAGGCAAATTCCCAGTACGACACAGGGCACACCTCTGATGCCTCGTCATCGACCTCGTCATTATCATGGTAGTGTAGTAGCTCCAACCCGAGCTCATTTGGTGTAGCATAATCCCCTATCAGTAGTAGCCGGTCTTTGCTAGGTGGTGGCAAGGCAATGGATGGGCTCTGTTTCGGCATCCCATGTTATCCAACCTTGTCAAAACCAGAGGCAAGTTAACCAACCAGACAAGGCGAATAAGAGCGTTGACAGTCCTGACAGAGCCGGGGTTGTCAATAGCTAGGTGGTCCACAGACTCCTTTTGACAGCATTTTTTTGGTCCTTGAATGTTAGTCAGGTGGCGGTGAGCCGACTCGGGTCAGACGTGTCATTCAAAGAGATTTGTTGGCGTGGACTTGGAGACATCCGGCAATGGTGATGGTGATGTCTTCCAGACGAAAGGCTTAGCTGCGGGCCTCAGGAATGTTGGAGTTGAGGTATTAAGCAATTGAAAAAGCCAAAAGAAGGAAAGCATAGCTAGACACGACTAGTAGAGGATTAGGTGAGTGGAGAAACTCGGCCATTTACTGAGCCAACCGTCTCCATTCCCCTGGGTGCCATTTGGGACTGGTGAGTCCCGGATGAATCCCACACGGCGAAGGGACTCCCAGGAATGTGATGTTCCAGGGGACAGCCGTGAGTTGCATCTAAGAAGCGCATAATGGGGTAGTGCGAAAACAGCGAGGTCGGTTACAAAATTGCCAGGTCAGTCGATGGTAAGGTTACCAATCGGTAACTGACCTCG